GACTCTGACGACGACGACCCCAACATCGTATTTGAGGACTTCAAGAGAGCCAGAAGTATTGATGCCGACTAAGAGGATCTTCACCACGTGCTTCTCTCTTTCTTTCAATTACAATAACCGGATCCATGAACAATTGACTACTGCAGCACGAGGAAGAGAACTTCACTCTTCGGAAGGAAACTAAATTTGAAAAAACGCGGCCCACTTTTAAAAGAAGGTTCATCGTCTGATTTCTTTTCGCTCTCTGCGCTGATTATTTGGAAGATTGTGCAACCGAAAATGCATGTCACTCCTCTCGCCTTCAATTAGACGCATGAATTATGAGATCACGCAGCTCATCACACTTTCGACAAACCTTCAAAAATGAGAACAGGAAATGGTGACCATCAGAACCTCCCACTGAAAGGTGCACAAGAACCATTCTCCAACTCGCAACAGCCAAAACAACCGTTCTCAAAGAAAACGGCGCCTTTCCTTTTGGCTGCAATTCCCTTTCGCGAACTCACAAGAACACTCCACTACAAAAGTCGATCAAAAATTATTTCTACTTCCGACGTGCAAAATGAGATAGGCACTGCCAAATGTCACCATGCAGACATTTCGTTCCAGCGATTCACCAAACGTCAATAGCCAAAAACAATTCAAATTCTCGTATAAATACAGCATCAGAATAATCACTTCGAGCATTCAAGAACATCCGCATCGTTTCCTCAACACACTAAACCATAATCCTGCAACATTCAAAAACCAGATCAGTACAGTCGAACCTCTTCAAGTCGAACTTCGAGGGGCCAGCGAAAAAATTCGTACGAAGGTTTCGAGTTAGGAAAACAGGCATTCTTCTCAAGGGAAAGACAGAAGCCAAAAGGCCTCCAGAAAATTTGAGTTTTGGAAGCTTGAGGCGGTAAACCTTCGAGCGAGGTACCTTATCAATGCATTACTTCAAGGAAATTCTGAGAGGGACTCGAAAAAAAAATCGACTTTAAGAGGTTAGGGTTATCGAGGCTCAACACGAACATAATTACTGACGAAATCAATAATACGAACTAGAGACATTGAAAAGAAAGAGACTCGTCTTCAATCAATCAAACGTATAAATGCACAGCCATAATCAAACCCCAAGAAAATTCGCCACGTAAAAAACGCAGTTACAAAAGGACATCGGGGTCTTTTTCATTGAATACATTGTAAATACGCTCGCTGAGAACGGGGCCGACTCTTCTGCCTCGTGCCTGGCTCTCCGGACCAGTCCGGAAAACAAGATTCGCAAGCAGCATTCTTCGCTGAGTTTCTTCGCAATTATCGTACGCCTAAAAAAACAAAAACATTATGAGTCCTAAAAATTCAGCTCATTGAAAATATTGCATCATATTATTCGTCAAAATCCTGTCACACCGAATAGGTGTAGTCTGTATCACACAACCAATTCTACATAAGGGTCGCAAGTCACGAATAAATATTCACTTACAGACGCTACTTTAATATTATATCAGGTCATTGAAATTCTGCTGTTGTCAAAAGAACTTTCTTTGGATAGGGTCGCTAGTCTTTTGAAGGATAGAATAATTTCGTTCATTATACCACTGGAAAAAATTCCAGCAT